CCCACATTCACCCTCTTCCCCTCCCCCTCCCCCTCCTCTGAGACTGCATGATTCCCCTTCATGCTCCCACTCTCCCTCCAGAATAGCAATTTGAGGCCAGGAAGGAACCCAGCAAGGATGCTCTTTTCCTTGCAAAGGGCAGCACTCCTTGGAAACAGAGAGGCCACCTGCCCTCACCCTGGTTTGGCAAAACTCACCTTGAAAGGGGCAGAGTTGAGGTGCGGTTTTCACACCTATTAGCTTCTGAGGCCAGGGCCCAGGTCCCAGCTTCTCCAGCCGAGCTGCAGATTAGCCGGGAAGGCACGTGACTGGTCCTTCCCGACTCAACAGCTGCTCCAGGTGAGCCACGTTAGCCAAGGATTAGCTTAATTGATTACAGCCATTTCTGAGCAGGGATCACTCAGGGCAGCTCTTCACATCTGACCTAATTTAGCTGTGACAAGGCTCACTGTAGATTTGCAGGGAAGGAAGAGAGATGCCAACATCTTTCTCACTTCCCAGTATGTGTTCCTTTTCTCCATGTAACTCTGGACACTAAAGCTGGAGTTGGTTTGACCTAAATTTATATACACAGATGTACAAATATGTATATATACACCTAGAGTTTACTCAGCTTCAGCGTGGTTAAATTGAGAAATTATATGCCCCTTAATTGAGGTACACATGCATGTTAACTAGAAACCTAGCTCAGATGTAAATGAATGGGTCAAATCACACAGCCCCGCTGGACTGCCCTTTCTATGCTAATGTTGTCCTTTGATGTATGCTCCCGGCATGCAGCAAGAACTAGTTCGCTTTTAAAAGCAATACGTTATATAGATGAGATGGCAAGCTAATGAAGTTATAAACCTATATTATAAATAAAATAACAGCAGGTTGATCCTGTTGAGGAGAAATGAGCCTATCGCAGGTGGACGTGTCCTTGCTTCAGACATGTCATCAGGAAGTATCTCGGCAAGAGATTTTGGCCTGCCCGACCCCAGAGAGCTTGTGTCTCTCCTTGTAAGGCCAGCACTCCCTTCTCTGGGGTAGCCTCTCATTCCCCTAAGGGTGTCTTCAGCACCTGTGGGCTCTTTGCAAGCACTCTGTCCCACTTCCCAAATCTGGGGCACTATGGCTCTGAGGGAAGAAAAGTAGCCCTTGCCTTTGACCACACTTTAATTGCCTTAAACACTTTCGGCAGAAATTGCTGTGAGGGCATCTACATAGCTGTTAAAGCAGTTTGTCTGGACTGACTCTAGCCTTGAAGTGTGATTTTTCTTTTTAAGTGACCGTGAAGTTATTTGTCTGTTAATGGCTATCTGGTTAAGGCAGGCTAGTAAGCTAGTTCTTCAACAGTTTTCATTTTCTTGCTTGCAGGGCTAACTTAAAAGAGTTTTTTCAATGCTGCAGTGACTGAAGAAGCAGTCCACTCCCATGTAACCATGACAGAGGGCCAGAGAGCTTTTTTGCACCCTGCATTTTTACTATTATTTCCCGTTACTTAGCACCATACCCCTAAGGAACCTTGAATACAACCAGGATCTCTTTTGCATGCGACTGTAGATGCATTTCATGAATAGTCTGAACCCTTGTCAATGCATTTTCTGAAAAAAAAAAAACAAAAAAAAGAAACTTTGTGTATGTGACTTAAAGCATGTAACCTTCAGATGTTGCATTCTAAACTGACAATAAAGACCTTTCCCAAATATGTTGGTGTTCTGAAGACTGTTTAATATGCTCTTCTAACTCCTGTGGACCAGAATAAATCAATCTATAAATAAAGCGGGAGTGTGGACCTTTTCCCTCACCTAGGGAGAAGCCAGGCCAAGGCAGGGTGTTACAAGTTTTTGCACGCATCGCACTGAACCCAGCTTATTTTAACCTTGCAGGCGATAAAAGCGAAAATGGATGAACTTAGGCCTTTGATACCTGTGTTGGAAGAGTACAAGGCCGATGCCAAATTGGTATTGCAGTTTAAAGAGGAGGTCCAGAATCTGACGTCAGTGCTTAACGAGCTGCAAGAAGAAATTGGCGCCTATGACTACGATGAACTTCAGAGCAGAGTGTCCAATCTTGAAGAAAGGCTCCGTGCATGCATGCAAAAACTAGGTAGGCCCAGAACCCTGCGGGGCGGGGCACCGCGCCGCCCACCTCCCCACTCAGCTCGCTCAGGCTTAGGGAGTGGTGCTGAAGTGGACAGCGCCCGCCTGGCGTCAGGGAGCCATGGCTGGATCAGGGCTCCTGGGTAGGGCTACCTTGACAGATAGTCGAGGGAAGTAGGCACCACCTGTCCTAGGGCCTTGTCCAATCCTGTGTAGAGGCCAGCTCACAGAGCCCATCGAGCTGCACATCTGGAAAAATGATGTTAGATGTTACCTACCATCTGAAGAACGTGTGTGTGTGTGTGTGTGCGTGCACGCGCGTGTGTATTGGGTGACTTTTTAAGACACAGGTTTTCATAGAATGGGAAACGTACATCTTAAGATTCCCTCCAGCTTGCGAACGAGGGCTGATGGAGCTCCCTGAGATACTGAATCATGCAGAAAAATCCATCACATCACAGTGGAAGACTTGCCATTCGCAACAAGCCAGGGAGTCCCTCCTGGTGCCTGGAAGGGGTGGGACTGGAGCCAGCGGCCCCTGGGCTCCTTCGGAATCTTATCTGTGGTTGATACCCACTCGCCTTATCAACTTTCGTGTTAATTTTGCTTTAGCAAATCTTAACGGCGTCAGCGTGAGTCCACTTTTAAATAGCACGTTTTAAATCCCAATTCCATTTTCAGGTTTTCTTAGGAAAGACTGGCTGGCCCTTCCACCCACTGTTCTCTAACACAGAGGTTGTTCATTTTCATAAGGTTTACTTTTTAGAGTAACTTAGGGTAGCTTTTATAAAGGGTAATTCTGCTTTATGAAAAAGTTCCCTTTAGGTTTTATCTGATGTTTTCACTTGATTCCCTTTTCATCCCCCACCCCACACACGCTACAAATGCCTTATTTTAAACTTAAAACATCCCAAAAGAACAAATACTTTAAAAAAAAATCCCCATTGCTATTAAGTGGGAGAGAGAGAACGTTCAAAGGGCAAGGAGGTCGAGTCAGCCAACCTTTTTGTTTGAACAGGTTCCCACATCTAGTTTATTTTTAATGCCGTTCTAGGTGCCCTAGTAAAGCTCCCCAGTCCGGGAGAGGGCAGTGAGCGATGTTCGGAGCATTAGGACGAATCCGTTGTGATCTGTACACTTGCATCACATGAGGGATTATCTGCTGCGTTTTTTCAGATGTGCTTCATGGCACCCATGTCCTGGTGTGTCCGGGACTGGGTGACCTGGGACAGTCCCGGGGAGGGGGTCTGGGCTGGACGGTCTCTACCAGCTCTTCCCATTTCAGCATTCAGGAGTCAGCGGGAATGTTTGAAATGCTACTGCTTATCAGGCTTATCAGTGGTTATGGGACTACATGAATACTTCTGGTGGGCACTGTCTTTGGGTTTCTACCCATAAAGCTCCCTCTACCCTAAGCTCCCGTCACCTCTCTCCAGACCCTCCAACGCTCCCCCTGAGGGCTCTTGGCCCCTGGGGGTTTCTTTGTTACTTATTTCTCCACAGTAGCATTTTTATTCCCCGGTAGACAGACCGTGTAGAAACCAGTGGGAAACCAAGATTAAACCTTCACATTTTCCGATTAACGGATGAAGGAGCCAAGTGGAAATTCAGAGGGGGCAAAGTTACAACTGACGAGAAGCTAAGGGTCTTTCCGGGAGGACTCTGCCCTTCCCAGACGAGCAGCCTTCGTGCCCGAACTCGGCCTATTTTTAGAAGCTGGGTGAATTCACTTTAGGGCTTGGGATCTTGGGGCTTTCACATGGTTCCCCTTGGGCTGCTGAAATAAGGAGAGAGGATGAAGAGGCCCCCGGAGCCCTGTTCTCCACCACTGAGTGCAGTCACTTCTGCGCTCACAAAGACCTTGACCTGTAGATGGACCTGCTGAGTCTTCGGGCAGGTGGGTGGGGGTCCGTCTTTCACCAGCACTCGGGTGGGTGATGTGGGTGAACACCAAACTGAGGACCCCCATCTGGGGGAGGCAGTGTCCTAAAGTGGTAAGTGCCACTCAATGGCCCCGTGGCTCAACCAAGGCACCGACCACTTTGCATTTCAGCCGCCTCTTCGTCTATAAGTTGAAGGCGTAGGAGTCCCTGTGCCCTGGGGTCACTGTGTGAGTCCACAGACACCATTCACGTCACGGGCTGCGCACCGTGCCCAGCATAGAGTAGGTGGTGATAGGACACGTAGGCAGGTGGGTACGTAGTACCCGATAGCTAGACATGATTGCTAGGTAAAGAGACAGCTAGACCGATAGGTAGGTAGGTAGGTCAGTAGGTAGTTAGACAGACAGATGGTAGATAAGTAGGTTAGTAGGTAGGTAAACAGATAATAGGTAGGTAGGTAGATAGATAGACAACAGATAATAGGTAAGTAGGTAAGTCAGTAGGTAGGTAGGTAGACAGACAACAGGTAATGCGTAGATATAGCTGCTGTTGCTTCTCCCACTTCCTAGGTTTTCATTCAAGCTCGGTAACTTAAAGACCCAACGAATATCCTGTAGCTGCTAATTTTAGTCTTTATCTTAGCCTTGCAAATAGCTGCCATCTTAGCAGCCTGTTTCTTTGCCGGGAGGTTGCCGGTGAGCAGAGAACAGGGGAAGCCAGCACTGATGCTGTCCTGGGCGGTTAGGACTTCTGAAGATGCAGTGTCTCAGAGGTCGGCAGTTCCTTCCTCGGCCTCCCCCCCCCCCCCCCCCCCCCCCCCCCCCTCCGCCTCTTGTCTCCTGGGTCTGAAGTCTGACTGTAGGTTCCTTTTGCTCTGGTGAACAGCATCTCGGTTACCTTCCTGGTGTAATGATGGGGAAGAGGGTCTCCCTGCAGTTTCCCCAAAGTGCTCTTAATTAGGTCTCTATTCTCTTCAAATTGTTGTTGCTGACAATTCCATACACAGGGAAAAAAAAAAAACAAGGACTGCAGGTTCCATTGGTCTTCTGTTTCCATTTTAAATCCCTCTCTTGGTGGCATTGTGTGTTTTTCCTAATGTGTTCCTCACGTTCCCAGCCAGAACGTGAATCTGAAAGTCTGATTTCTGGAACTGGACCTTGGGCTCAGCACCTCTCGTGCATCATCCGGAAGGGAGGCGGGTCCCCACGGCTCCCCTGCAGTTCCTCTGGTTCCCGGGCAAGGCAAGGGAGAGGCAGAGCTGCCCGGCGACCCCGTCCCCCGAGCTTTTACTGCCACTCCGTGGACAGCCTGCGGAATCAGGTGCCCCAGCGCTAGACCAGCCAAAGGCAGAGACTTAAGATCCGACACAGGACGTCGTTGGTCCTCATGCACGTGTCCCGGGCATGTCACATGCCCGTTAGTGTCAGGCCTCAGTCCTGTCTGTAAAAGGAGGGGAACTGGCTGACTTCAGGGCTTCCCCCAGCTGGACCGTCCTGGTTCTCCGGTGCTAAAGGCCTCTGTAGGGAAGGTCGAGGAGACAGAGAGAGGGGCCCTTACCTCCTCCCCAGAGGCCGGGATGGAGCCGGGTGAGTGAGCTGCTCCCAAGGACGGTGGATAAAGTTAGCCCATGCGGATTTACACTCAGGATTGAGAGGGAAGTTTAGGGTGTCTCAGTCTGCAGGGGACCGACTAGGACAGCGAGGAGGGAGGGGACCCGAGTCCAGGTGCCGCCCACAGCAGTGACCTCAGTGGTCCCAGCAGGCAAGCAGGTGTCCCCCCAGGTTCCTTCCGGGAAGTGCTAGGGATCGCAAGAGGTCTCTCAGCGTCCCCGTCCCTGCCCAGGTGTGGAGGGGAGATGGGCGTCCAGGGTGGCCCTCGGGGCTCTGGGCCTGGGCTTGCAGGGAGGCTGCTCCGTCCCCGGTTAGCTCTTCTGCAAGGACGTGTGTCTGTCTGAGCTCCCAGCTCTGCCAGCTCTTCCAGCTTAACTCTCCGGTCTTTAGGGATACAAGCTGGGACCGAGGCAGATGGGCCTGGAGGCGGGGCGGTCCCGGGACCCGTCTGCCTGCTGTGGAGAAGTCAGCCCCCTCAATCTGGTCTCTGGCCTGGTTCCTTGGCGGGCACGTCGCCCTGGGGCCTGCTTAGGCTCCTGTCAGAGGTCACTCGGGCTGTTGTTCAGAAGTGGCCTCCTTCTAGGAATAGCGGGGACCAGAGGATTTCATCTACGGAGGCTGCTTTGTCCAGGCTCCCAGCTTTGCAAGGCGGCCCCCCTCCTGAGACCCGTCCTGGACTCTCAGGGCCCTCCCAGCTGAGGGTGCTGTGCCTGGAGCCCAGCCTCCTCTGAGATGGACCTGCTCGGTTTCCCTTCCCTCCCCATCCACGAAGCCCAAGCGCTCGTGACAAGAGAGGGACACTTTCGTGAACGGAACGTGCCAAGACTCTGCCTCGCGGCTCTGCCGTGGGGCTTTTTTAGATCCTGACAGTTCCCGAGGTCTTGGCAGAGCCAGTCTGGATGGAGAACCAAAAATAACTCCGTGACTCAAGCAGGGCGGGCAGCCTCCATCCCCAGTGGAGAGCCGAGCCCACAGCCAGGAGTTGGCCGAGCAGGCCTCACGGGCCAGCTGGACCCTTCTCTGCTGCCTCATCCGTGATTTTAAGGCTCCCTCCGAGAGACTGGGGGAGGGTGGGCTCAGGCCCTCGGGCCAGGGTGCACTGGGGGAGACCTCAGCCCAGGGCAGGGCGGGGCTGGAGCTGGTGCAGATGCCCTCCTCCCGCCCCCCAGCCCCCCCGCAGACGGTCTCCCCTTCTCTGCAGCCATGTGTGGGCCGAACGCAGTGGGACCATCCGGGGCAGCCCCGAGCCTGGACTTGGCCACAGTCTCAGTGTGAATCCATGGCCGCTGGCCTCACTGGGCACTTATGCGTGACGGGCATCCTTCTAGAAGCTCCCCACTGGTTAACTGCTTTAATTCCCACCACCGCCTCTGGGGTGGGTATCCTTCTGGCAGATAAGGAAGCCGCCCTCAGAAGAGGCGGCCCCCCTTCCCCCCCCCCCCCGCCCCGTCCCCTCTGGCGGGTTACGTGGCAAAGCAGTGGGCTGATGAGGATTTTCTGGGAGATGCATAGTTATACCTCTCAGCTCCTGAGAGGTGAGTCATTTGTTCGTTCATTCATTCGTTTTGGACAGCTCCCCCAGGCTGAGCCTTGCGGGGGGGAGGAGCGTCCTGCCTGGGGTCGTGAGACCCGGACGCCCGGGGCCACACCCAGGGGGTGTGCAGGCCCAGCCTGGGTCGGGGAGGCAGGGTGGGTGCCGTCCAGAAGGGAGCGGGCTCTGCAGAGGCGTCGGTGTGGGTCCAGCCACAGAAGACAGGAGGGCAGGAGCGGGGTGGGGGTCTGGCTGTCCCGATGGGGGTGGGCCTGAGCAAAGGTAGGGAGGCGAGTAGAGCTGGGCAGGTGGCCGAGCCGGGCCTCACCCGCCAGCGTCACCTTCTGAATGTGATGTAAAGGATGGATGTCTGTCTCCTTCGGGGGAGGTCGTCCCAGGCCGGGTGTGACCGCTGAAGGCTGGGCAGGGCGTTGGCGTGAGTGGACGTCTCACTGGGAAGTGTGCCCGCGATGGGGCACCAGCAGGCATCTCTCCCGGGGCCCCCGATCTGTGACACCCTTGGGGCCATGGTGCCTTGGGACTTCTCCTTCCGGGCGGCAGACAGGACCACTGTCCCTGACTCAGCGGTGGGGAGGCCCTGCACGGGACATTCACACGGGGCACTTTGCTGGCCTCTGGGCAGCAGGGAGATGGGCTGTCTCAGGTGTTCGATGGCCCCTGTTAGCATTTCCCACCCAGTTCGGAGGGTCTGCTGTCTCCCGGGGACAGCCCAGAAGCCCCCAGGGTCACAGAAACAAAGAGGGTGCTGGGGGGAGACCAGCCTAGTGTCCTGCTTCTCCCCTGCCCTCCCTCCTCCAGACGGAACCCTCAGGGAACCCCACCCCAAATTCTCAAAACCCTCGTGGGATGAGAACCTGGTCTGGGGCTCTCGTGGGCATGCACGCTCTCGCGAGATTTCCAAGGACCCACTTTTTTCTTACTTCTGGTTGCAGTAGATGTTGGCTAACCTGCACGTAATGTCCAGTCCCTTTGTCCTCTGTCTGTCCTCCCTCAGATGGGGGGTGTGGACAGGGCCGGCCTTGAGGGGACAGTATTTCAGTGGGAAAAAGTATGCAATTCCTCCTGAAAGGGGAACAGGCAAATATACACTGGGAAGGGATGGGCGAGTAAAAATAGTTGAGTTCCTTTTTCGAATCTGGGCCAGAAGCAGCAGCCTGGGGAGCGGCACCGCTGGGTCTTAGGAGCGGGGCAGCGTGACTTGATGGGAATTTGGCTGTAAAGCCGCCTTTCTTCTGCTTTGCAGTCAGCTCTTAATCCCGGTCCAAAGCCTCCGTGTTGCCCAGATGCAAGCTCTCCTGACAACACAAAGAGACAGAGGCCCCAGGCACCGGGCTGGGGGTCCAGGGCGTCCACTTCTCCAGTCTTGTTCAGTGATGCTGATGGATCTACTTGCCCCACTTTAAGTTTGAGGAGAGAGTGGGAGGCACCCCAGACAGTGCAGAGGTGGCCATGGGCCCCTCCCCGAGGCCGGGCCACCTCACTTGGCGGGATGACCCCCGGCTAAACCACGGTCCCTGGGTTAAGTCACTGGCAATCTTCTGAAAACGCGCAGGTCTCCTCTAAGCTTTGCAGACTGACCTCTACATCTGCTAATACAGTGGGAGTTTAGCAGAGCTGGGTAGTTACACGCAGGCCTGGCCTGGAAGAAAGGGAGGGTGTCCCAGTAGGCACACGTCCTGGCAGGGCAGGACCCACTGCCTACGTTGAGGGGCCAGTCGGCTTCTGAGGCTCAGTGAACCTTTTGCCCTTCTGAGGCTGTCTGAGTTTACTTATTCCGGAAGGCTTCAGGGCTACGCACACAGGGTGGCATCCAGGTGGCAGGAGGGGGATTTCTGCTGGGCATGGTGGCTGCCCGGGGCTATCAGGGGCAGCGGGAAGGGCGCTGGGCTGTCGGGAATGCCCGAGTGTCGGTGTGGCCCCGAGCGTATCCCAGCCCGTCTCCCGCCTCCATCTGTGTGACGGGAGGGCGCCATCACCCCCGTGCTCTCTGCTCCGTCAGTGACTTCAAATCCCAGCCCTCCGGCCCCTGGGCACCTTCTCCAGGCAGTAGGGAGCCCGCTGTCACCCTGCAGGGAAGCTCACAGGCCCTCCAGGGGGAAGGAGCGCCCTTCCTCCTGCGCTGGACCACAGATGCACTTTCTCCTTAGGAGGTCCAGCGGCTGCCACCCCTGCTTCCCAGAGGAGAAAACTGCGTCTGGGCGAGGCTGGCCGCCCCGTCGGGCGGTGCGGCCCTGGCACCCCCGGCCCTAGGCCCAGGGGGCTGCACCTCCCTCTCCCCACCTGCCCTGGCCTCCGTTGCTCTCTGCTTGGGGGAGGGGGTGGTGGCCTCTCGCCTTTGGGGCTGGGCCCAGGCACTCACTCCCCCGCGCCGTGTCCTCTCTTGCAGCATGTGGCAAGCTGACGGGCATAAGTGACCCCGTGACCATCAAGACCTCCGGCTCGAGGTTTGGGTCCTGGATGACGGACCCTCTGGCCCCAGAAGGTGATAACAGGGTAAGTGCTTCCTTCATTGGGTCTGGGTCTGGGGCAGGGGGGCTGTGGACGAGGGAAACTTGGTGCCCCCGGGGTGGGGTTCCAGGGACTTTGGGGAGAGGCCCAGGTCCCTTGCCGAGGTCCCTGTACTAAGGCAGAGTCACAGACCGCGGGGTGGGTCCGAGGACGCCTGCGACCCCCTCCCCGCGTGTGGCTCTGCCCCTGGGAGCGGAGGGGCTGCCTCCGGGCTGAAACCTTCCCATGCTCACAGCACTGTCCCTGCTCCGCTCAGGAACAGCATGGTCAGGCCTTCTTGTTTTAATGACTTCTCATTTGCGTTTCATTTGCCATTCCTTTCATGGCTGATGGAAACTCATGTTCTTTTTTGATTTAGGAGAAAAGCCATGTTCTTTTTTTTCTAGACTCTCCCCCCTGGGTAAAGACCTCATGAGAGAGAGACGACTGAGCGGCACGTCTGTCTTGATCGGGTTGGGGTGGGGGCTGCGTTGCGTTCTGTCGTTGGAGTCCCTTCGGGGCGTGGGGAGCAGAGGGCTGGCTGGCTGGGAGGGTGGCGCCTGGCCCACTGGGCCCGGGGAACATCCGTCCATCACCACAGCGTCCTTTGGGAGCGTTTCAGCGAAGGGAGGTTCCGAACGCCCAGGGTTCTGGCTCTTAGTTGGAGGAAAGGAGCTGTGGGCATCCCTGTCCCTTGGTGGTCCACCAGCCTGACCGCTGGCACCCAGAGAGAACCGTCACAACAGTCCAGGGCCTCTCTTACCCGGCCCCTTGCCTGCAGGAGGTTTAGAAAATAAACACTTAAAAAAAAACTTCAACTCTTCCTCTGGGCAGATTGAGAAAGGAGCTTAGGAATTTGAGAACCTCTGAGCCTTGTCTGGAGGATTTTCATTGGGGAGGGATCTTGAGACTTCTGATGTCTGCTCCTCCCCCAGCCCCATTCCCACCCTTTAGACAGTGTGATCGCTTCTGTTTAGATCAGGAAGCGGCACATTCTCCTTCTGGGGAAGACGCCTGGGGGGCCATGACGGGCTTTCCAGCGATCTGGGCGTCTGTCTTTTTATACCACAACCTCCAGTGGGAGGAACCCCCGTCTCTCCCCTTCCTTACCCACCCCCCGGCAGGCCAGCAGCCTCTTCCCAGACCTCATCCCCGGGTCTGCAGGCAGAGAGTTCTGGAAGGAGGGGCCCGGCTACAGGCTGCAAACCCGGGAAATGACCGGGTCCGGTATTTTGGGGGTGAAGTTTGTTTGTGTTTTATTTTCTGAATGGTGACGGCTAGCTGGTCCTTGGAAGTTTTCTAAGAATTTAACTGGCCAATTAATTACCAGTTAATTACCAATGAACCATTTGATTGGCCAGTTGTTACCCTGACGACTCTTCAGTTCCATCTGCGTCCGCCTGGGAAACACCACTTTGGTTCTGAGTTTGGTTAGGAGCGTGCTCTTGCTGCAGGCGTCAGTCATAATAACGGTAATGCAGACGTGAAAACAAGACGGTGACGCACACCCTGAGCGCATGATGTTTATATTGAAATACAAGAGGAAGTATTGGTTTCTAGGACGCAGCGACACGTGTGCCCAGCCCTCAGCTGAGCGCACCTGTGCCTGTCCTGGTTTGGTCCCACGGCTGCCGGAGATCCTAGTTGTCTCTGCTGTGTTGATGAGAAAACGCAGGGCCAGGAGGGTCACGTGACTTGCCCAAGGCAAGGTCTCAGGAAAGGCTGACCGGTGGGTTTATTAACCATTTATTTACCGCGATATTCCAGGTTGAGTCTCCCGAGTCACCCTCCTCTCCGTTGCCTTCTCCCCACCTCCTGCCTGCCCTCTGCCTGCCCCACCACACACACCCCACTGACCCAGCAGGCCTCTTGGGATCCGTGAGCTGGAACCAATGACCTTGGTGCTGCAGAGGAGGAACCCCGGTCTAGAGGATTTCGCCCCATCTGACACCGCAGATGTGCCTCTGGGTCCCCACGTTGATGTCAGTTTCCTTTGTTGTAGTGAGCGCTCGTCAAATTTTCTTTTCTCAGAGATCACGTATCAGGGCTCCTGGAATCCCCCGTACCATGAGGATGCAGGTTCATCTGCAAAGCCGCTGAGGTGGTGATGGATGCTTTGGGGAATTAGACATCTCTTTTCTGCTTGATGAGTTGATCACCGTCCAGGAAAGGGGGCCCTGGTGATGGACAGAGTGCAAGCAGGAAGGCGGAAGGGGGGCCTTTGTGGGAGCTGACTGCGTGGGGAGGCAGGGAGGGGACCAGCTCGCTGGCAGGGGACCCTGGGGGCCTGCTCCAAAGCTGTGGGCAGTCGGCAGTCCTGCCCCAAGCCGTGAGATCAGCACAGCCACCAGCTCACAGCCTGCTAAGTGACACGTCCCCAGGTCCTGCCGTTGATCTAGAAGGGAGCTGGTTTCTTTTGTTTTGATCTTTTCCATTCTCCGTCCAGTTTTGATCACACACAGGAGACCAATAACTCGCTCCCCCCCCCCAAAAAAAAACAGTGTCAGCTTCAGTGCAGGAGGCCACAGAGGGCGAGGAAAGGGGGGTGTGGCCAACAGCCAGGGCGGGGGATTGCCCTGGGACCGCTGTCCGGGAGCCCTCAAAGGGGCTTTCGGGTCCCCCGCCTTTGTGCTGAGCTGTTGGAACCAGGTTAGCTCGTTCATTAAGCACCACCTGTGTGTAGGCACTGTGCTGGGCTCCGGTGGTCCTCCACCCTGTCCAGAAGCTTCCGATGGCACCAGAGTTCCAGAAGCCATGCTCTCGTCACCCCAGGCTGTGTCCCTCCCCCGGGAGAACAAGACGCTGAGGCGCGTACCTCTGACTGTGGACCCTTCTAAGGTCCGGCATCCACCGTCCCTCTAAACAGCCGTGCTTCCACCGTAGAAGTCCCAGGCCCACTCACATCAGACAGTGGTAAGGGGACCAGCCGGCCTCTGGCCCCCAGGAAGTTCATGTTCAGAGGGGTGGTCTTATCACTAGAACGCCTCTCATTTCCCAAACAGCAGTGAGCTCAGTTTAGTGTTTAAAAGTCCTTCCCTGTCATCTAAACAGTGTCACAGCTATCCAGGTATTTTATTCCTACAGAATCCGTCTTCCTGAAGGTCGTATTATCCGAACTGCACGGTCACACTGTTTCGTGTGGTCGGGGACGGTCTTGGGGCTGCTGACCTCGCCCCCCTTTCAAGCCTCACTCCTCAGTGAAGCCTCCCACCTCCTTATTCACCTGTTCAGCTAAGGGCTCCCTTTAGAGCATCTTTCCCACCCGTGCCAGCTCCTTGAGGTCAGGCCCTGCCAGGAGGACATGTGACAGATGCCTGCCCCACCAAAGGGAGGAGAGGATGTGGTCACGTTACTAAGCCAGGCCCTTTGGGCGGGGCTTCCCTCCCCCGCTCCGCCCCTCCCGGATACATCCCTGCATCACGTAAGATGGGGCCAGACTCGACAGCACCGCCCTGCCCTGCCCTGCCCCGAGATGGCCTTCTTCACTAAAAAGCACATGAAAATAATAGGGACAATTAGGAAAACCCCACATTCTCCGTAAACTCCACCGTGTGGAACCAGAATGCAGTCAGGATGTGGGAATACCCAGGTTTTCTTACAGGGGAGCTGGCGTTGGGCGTTTTGATTCCAGTGAGCTGGCAGGCCACATCCACTCAAGGCGTGGCATTTACAAAGAAAGAGTCCGGAGGTGGCTTTGTTTTATCTCTTCTGGCAAAGGGACCCTCGTGGATGGGGGAGCTTGCGCACTGGCCTCAGACCTGCCGAGGGGACTCTTCTTGCAACTTGCCCGGGGGGCCTTCCTTCTGCTGACAGAAGTACCCACAGCGGGGGCTCTGAGCCCTGATGCCCCAAGGGCCCCTTTCTCCCTTGGGCTTCCCTGGCTTCTGTTCCCCGGTGTGTTCTCAGCTCTCCCCCTTCCTCAGCCTGGGGCCCCACGGTCCTTCCCGCAGGACAACGGCCACAGGGAGCTGCAGCCCGCATGGAGTGTGGCCCTGAGGTCACCAGCGCCCGGAGGGCAGGGAACGAGTTCCCATCACTTGGAGAACAGGAGGCGCATGGCCACCTGGGCCACCCGAGGCATCCTGCCGGGCGGTGGTGGGTGAGGCGGGCATTGTGGTCAAGCCCAGGAGTGAGCGAGTGGAAGGTCGCCGTCCCTTCTGTCTGTGCCCGTGAACAGAACCTGCTTTATGGGGTCGGTTGGGCATTTCAGAGGACGGCCTCGGGAGTCTGGGAGGAAGTGGCCCAGTGAAGACAGGCAGTGGGTGTGTCCTGTGCGAGATGCAGTCTGCTTTCTGGTGAACAGACCGTGTGGCCCTGGGCGAGACCCTCACCCCTGGGCCTCTCTGAATTGAGGACTTGGAACAGGTGGTCTCGGGGACCCTGCCGAACGTTAGAATCCCCTGGAAGCTTTAACCAGCCGATGCCCGGCTCTACCCCCAAGGTCTTTGCCATTGTTCTGGGGTGTGAAAGCTCCCAGGAGACCCAGCCAGGTTGAGGACCCTGGTCCCAGGCCTCCGCGGGTCAGATGCAGCGGTTCTGGGCGGCATCCTGGAGGGGACGGGATTCCATCTGAGCCTTGGAACGTGGAGCAGGCGGGGCAGGACAAGGCATTTGAGGTGAGATCAGAGTGAACTCGTAGGGGTGGGAGGCACTGCCAGAGGTGGGCCCTCATCGCAGGCCCTGGGGGTCCCATGATGCACTCCTCTTTTGCACAGAGGGGCTCACTGGTTGCCTAAACCCTCCAGGCCGAGAGCTGGTTGTTACACATTTAGCACCTGTGCTGATTTTCTCTCCCACCCTAAATTGCCTTTTCCAAGTGTTGCCCACTGCGACCAATTTGCCAGTTTATCGGAGGAAAAGGCAGTTTAAAAATCCTTAGAAATTGGATGCTGACTTCACGCAGCTCTGCCCACAGGAAGGAGGTGTTGATCCCTGGGGGTCCAGGGATGCATCAACCCAACCGGGTCCCCACCATCAAAGACCCACTCGTGGCGGAGGCAGAGCGAGCTGAGATGGGGGCGGTCAGGAGAGGGTGCAGAGGGGGGCTGTCACTTGAGCTAAGTCTTGAGAGAAGCAGTGAGCTCCCTGTCTGGGAGGTAGCCAAGAGGAGGCGCGATGTCAGGGCGTCTGCACATCACCCTGCGGACCTCTGACACCTTCCGCCCAGCCCTGCACTTGCCCCGTTCTAATGCGTGGCCCGCATCGCCGAGGGCTGCTCTGACGGGGGCTAAGGATAATGAAAAGCCTCAGATGAGACCCAGTCTTTAAAAAAAGTGTTGTTAAAAACAAAAAGCACATCTGCCTCTAAGCATCTGAATGGATGTCTCAGGAACAAGGTTACAGGTTTTGGGTTTTTTTTTTTTTTTTAATTTTTAACGCATGCGCAATACCGTGTCTGAAAACTCCCACATCCTTAATCCCTCCTGCAGCCGGCAGAGCCCTCGATGGATAAAGCAGCTGCCTTCTCGCCAGACAGATGCACTGGGAACGGCATTAGCCCGGCAGATTTTCCTCTGACTAACTGCCTTGCTTTCTAATTTGCTCCCATGTTGGTTGAAAATGACTAAAGCGTTTTGTGCAAAGTCTAGACAGCTTTCGAGTCAACTGGCATTTAAGCAGTCATTGGAAAGCTCTTCTTCTTGTGACCCCAAACTTGGGCCTCTGCTGGGTTTGTTATCTTGGTTGATTTGAGCAATCAGAGCCTTCTGGAAGCCCGGATTCCTCGGGGAGAGGCACTTTCCCAGGACTGGGCGTGATAGAGTGATTATGCTCGGAGCATCCCAAGTGCCAAATTAATGACATCCCCCCGCCGGACTGGTGGTTCAGTCCGGCCTGCTGTGAGGGCCTGGACGAAAGGAGAGGCCTGACGCACGCGCCCCCTGGGATATCGGGCATTGCCCTTCCTGGAGACCTTGATAACGGCCATCCCTGCAGACTGCCCGGTGTTGTGGGCACTTGTCCTCCTGCGGGCCCAGGCGGCTGTGCCCTCTGCCACAGCGTCCTGCTGGAGGGCGGTGCCACATGCTGCTGGAGGGCCAGCCTTCCCAGATGACCCAGAGCCTGGGGGCAGCCCCACCGCTTGGCGGGAACAGCAGAGGGTGGCTGCCAGCCACGCCCACGGCGCAGCTGCGGGGTCCCAGGCTGTCGGTCCCCACACCCCTGTGCGTGGTGTCCTTTCTCCAGGCTGGACGCTTCCTCCCCTGGTGGGGAGACAGCCCTGGCCCCTCGTGAAAGGCACCCCGTGGGTTTGGAGGAAGGACATGACCCTGTTTAGTCTGTTCTCTCCCAGTCCTTCCAGCTCCTTCTCTGGGTGCCGAATCACTAAATGCCAAGTCCAGGAGGGGATGCCTACCCGGGAGGGGTCCCCCCCGCTTCAGCCCCACTGACAGGTCCGCTGTGTCCGCAGGTCTGGTACATGGACGGCTACCACAACAACCGCTTTGTCCGCGAGTACAGATCGATGCTGGCCTTCATGACCACGGACAATTTCACGTCCCACCGCCTCCCGCACCCCTGGTCCGGCACGGGGCAGGTGGTCTACAACGGCTCCATCTACTTCAACAAGTTCCAGAGTCACATCGTCATCAGGTTCGACCTAAAGACAGAGACGATCCTCAAGACGCGCAGCCTGGACTATGCCGGCTATAACAACATGTACCACTACGCGTGGGGCGGCCACTCGGACATCGACCTCATGGTGGACGAGAACGGGCTGTGGGCTGTCTACGCCACCAACCAGAACGCCGGCAACATCGTCGTCAGCAAGCTGGACCCCGTGTCCCTGCAGGTGCTGCAGACCTGGAACACCAGCTACCCCAAGCGCAGCGCCGGCGAGGCCTTCATTATCTGTGGGACCCTCTACGTCACCAACGGCTACTCGGGGGGCACCAAGGTCCACTACGCCTACCAAACCAACGCCTCTACCTACGAGTACATCGACATCCCCTTCCAGAACAAGTACTCGCACATCTCCATGCTGGATTACAACCCCAAGGACCGCGCCCTGTACGCCTGGAACAACGGCCACCAGATCCTCTACAACGTCACCCTCTTCCATGTCATCCGGTCTGATGAGCTGTAGGGTCCCCTCGGCCTGGAAGCCGAGGGTCCGCGTCCTCCACCCACCTGGAAATTCCTGTGGAACAGCTGCCAAATGAATATTGGTGAGACGAACAAGGCTAATTTGGAAAAATCAGCAGCAGCGTGGACTCCGGCATCACGGGGTGGCGTTGCCCCCCGTGTTTCTCCACCTCCAGCCGGAGGGCGGCCAGTGTGGGAAGAAGCCCCCGTATACACGGCTGGAACTGCAGCCCAGGGCTCCCTGGCTCCCCCGCCCTGGTCCCCTTTCTGGTCAATATACTCAAGAAGTAAGGCACTGACTGTTGGCCAATTCTTACTGAGAACAACCCACTGTTAGGATCGCATGGACATGTCCGTAGATCATGGTCAGCTCGATGGACCTGAGTGTCGTGTCTCATTGAAGCCCCCCTCCCCCGGGCCTTGCTCGGCGGCCGAGGGGGCCACGTAGGCTAGTGTGACTCGCATCTCATCACCGCTGCCGTCCTTGACCACGTGTTGTGTCTTAGATGCACTTAGATGCTGAGACTCCAAGTAGCCCGTGGACCCGAGTTAGTCCCCAAGAGCGGTGGCCGGCGTGTGTGGCGTGGACAGGCTCAGTGCCGCACCGTTTGAATCCGCGTACCCCGTAGATACATCGTGCAGTGTCCGTCTGTCGTTTCCTCGAGGTGGTGACTTGTCTGATGCCGTGAATGTTGTAAATGCAATGCCGTAGTTTGGATTAGTAAGTGGATGGTTTTTGTTTCTAAAGAGGAATAAAAAAAAACCACATCAATGTTCGCCCTTATAGAGAGATGATCAAGTTCATGTTGCTAATCGTGAAAGGAAATATCCTCTTCTTGTTAAATTATCTAAATAGTGTAACCACAGATGAGAAGGGCTCATCTAGGGAAACTTCGGTTTCCAACGGGAAAGAAATGCTCTTGAGGGCAACAGTGTGCGGAAAGTACATTTTTTAAGTAAAAAAGAGGGAAACTTTGTACTATCCGGTTATCTAAGGAACAATAAAAATATTAGGAGATGTTTTTGCTTCGTTTGTCATTTCAGAAGGTTTTAAAAATGACCAAGACTTCCAGATCCTTGCAGACGTATTCCAGAGCGAGTGCCCCTCTCAGAAGAGGACAGGGCACGGGCTGGACACGAGCCCCATTGGGGCCCTAGGCACTCATCCCCCGCAAGGGTCGGAGCCCGAGGATCAGCTTGGAGGTCCCTACTCCTTGGGTGAATCTGAATCCGAGGGCTACAGCACTGGGAGTCCCACCCCACCCCACCCCGGCAGGCTCCTCCAAGACACAGGTGGAAGGAGCCTGGGACAGGCACCCGCTTTCGAGGTGGCAGGGGGCATCCGCAGAGACCCTGCCGAAAAGTGGGCAAAGGTAAACCCAGGCCCTCTCTGGCCAGCACTGGGGATCCAGGAGGTGAGTGGCCAGCCCTGTCTGGGGTCTGGGTCCCTGAGCCCTGGAGACAGAGAACCTCGTGCATCGGGGGAGCCCAGGCCACCACGGCCAGGCCTGCAGATACCAAGCCAGGCTCCGTCTCTAAGTGGGCCCTGAGGTCTCTGCAGGACAGAGCCGTTCTGGAGTGCCCTGGGGGTTCACATGGCCAGAGAAGGCACAGGTCAAAGTAACTCTCCTTTCACAAGACAGTTCAGGACCGGCCTTGGCACTAGATGCCAAGGCAGGGTGTGGCACGTGGTGACCATCCACTCCCTCCCCTGCCCTTCCTCTGCTCTGGGGCGGCTGGCCTCCTTGGCAGGGTGGACAGCAGGGCTGTGATGTGGGCCTGGGAAGAAGCTAGCAGCCCCCGTGAGCTCAGCCCAGCTGGCACCGCACCCAAACCAGAGAGCAGAGGGGCTGATGTGTTTCCAAAACAGCCTTCTTCAGTTGCCATCACTTGTCCTGGAAAGAACCTGGGCGGGTCCCCAGGCAGGGGTGTAGGCGGCACTTAGAGGGGGTGTAGCTGGCGTTCATGGCGCTGGTACTCTCGGAGTCAGTCTGAGAACATCCAAGAACATCTGACTCCGTCCCCGGGGCCCCTCGGAGGCTGGAGCCACTGAGACAGCAAGCTGGTCAGGCAAGGAGGCAGCGGGGGCGTGGGGACCGTGTCTGCTAGTCACAGTGGGTGCCCTTGGGATCCAGCCAATTGCTGGGAAGATATGGGATGAGAAGTAGGGTGGAGTCCCCGCTTGTCCTCTCCAACCCCTCCGGTGGAGTAACACACGGAAGCAGAAAAGAATGACCACTGGCCGGGGCTTGCCCACTGTTGGGAGCCCTGAATCGCAGTCAGCTCGCCCATGAGAAATTGGGTGGGCCCTGGACCACTGGGTGGGGAGGGAGGGAGATGCCAGAGGACCCTGGAAAAGTCCTGGGGGTGTGGGCCAGCAGGGCAGCCTGGGGGAGGGGTGGTGGCCTTGCATAGTTAAGGGCCACTCCTGGGACCCTTCCCCACCCCCCTCCCCCGCACCGGGGGCCACATCTCTACTGCACGCTGGGGGCCACCTAGACACTGCACTGCGAGGGGACAGTGCCGCCTCGGGCCTGGCCCAGGCCACCTCTGACCCCAGCGCCCCTCAGCCTCTCCCCTCCGCCCACACGCTGCAGTGGGGCTCACCGAGCAGGTCTCCACCTCCGGGCACAAGGCGCTCCAGAGCCCCTTGGCCCCTTCACCTGTGCTCTCCCCACGTCCTTCCTCCCCTCCCAGCTCAGAGCTCCCGCCTTCTGTAAGCTTCCCGTTCCCCATCTCCAAGGAGGAATCACTGCTTCTTTCCTGTTCCTTTAAATCCTTCCTCCATCACCCATGCTCTGGACTGCCCCATCTTCCCAGCATCTGTGATTCTCTTAGACCCAACATATTCTTTAAGATTTGGGTTTTTTTTTTTTAATTCACCAAGCCCAAGACAAAATAATCCAAAAAAATCCTTTCTTGCTTTCTTGTTGCTGCTGGGTTTCCTTCGCCAGATACCCTGAACTGTGACGAGGAAGCGGGGTGGGAGATGGTAGGAAACGCCTGACCCTCAATTAGAGCCTCATTAGCTGCAAGTCCTCCCCGAACGAGAGGACTCACACAGGCCGCTGCCACAGCCGTGGCAGGACAAGCTGCAATTAAAACTTTTAGAAGTGGGAGGCGTTTTCCTACTTTCATGTTTGCAAATTACCTTGGAGGGAACCGGCACACGCAAAATCCTCCCCGGGAGAGACAGGAGCTGGTTCTTCATAGAACAGCCCTAACTTCAATAAGACAGTCTAAGACGCCACCGACTTTATTCCCGGTGTGAAGCCATGATGGGAGTCTGTCCAGGCAGGATCAGGCAGGGATTGTTAAGTAATTACAGCTGCAATTATGGGCCGAACTCTTCATAATTTCCCCCTAACGGCATAGGAGACGGCAAATGTACAAATACCTGCTCTGAGTCACCAGAAGACAAAATAACGAACGACCTGATAGGTTCAGAATGGATTTGCTGTCTCCGACTGAGTATTTGCTGGGGAAAATAATCCTCCAGGATATTAAATACGCAAGAAAAATGGTTCCATCCAGAGAGCAAATAAAACAACCGGCTTGCCACCAAATCTCCCAGATTCCAATAACTGAATATATTGGCTGATGGCAGAACATCTGTAGATGAATTTTCTTTATTAAAAGTTTGGCCTGGAATCAAAACCCAGCGGTTCTTTGGTGGGTACCGGAGGCCAGAGCATGAGATGCCCAGTCCTGGGTGCAGCTGGGTAGGCCTGGAACTTTTTCTAGTTTCCGCAGGTTTCTTCTTGAAGGAGGCCTGTGATGGGTGACCCCACACAGCTGCCCATGGAATTCACCTCTAGCTCCTGGAGTCGCGATGCCCTTGTCGTTTAGGGAAGGCGTGCGGTGAGGGTGGCCGAGCTCTCGTAAGTGACCAGGAAGGAGGCATCTCTTGGGTTCTTGGGAAGTGAAGGGTCTCCAGACAGGGGCCAGGCTCCACCCGTGAGAAGGGAAAGGAAGGCGATGGTGATTTCAGGTAGCTGAACGGGCCAGGGTGGGGGTAGAACGTTGTCTTTAATCGGAACACTTAACGTAATCCCATTGGCAGATTATAAGTGGTAAAGGTCGGGCACAGTCACCGCTTAGAAGCCAATGTTGACACCAGCTTCCCCCGCATCCCTTTGACCTCACACCACCTGTAGAAGAGGCACCAGGCTCCCCGTCCTCAGATGGAAACTGTCTCAGGACATCTGAGCTTCCAACCCACGAAAGAGCGTCCACGTCCACAGGACAGCCCAGGCCAACACGGGGACACATCGGAAAACTTCAGGCCGTTGAGGGTCCCTGGGGAAGGTAGCAGCTGGGCCGGGACTGTGGGTGGCAGGTACGTCCTCGGGGCACACAGGGAAATGAACCCCCAGAGGCAGCTCCTAGAAACTGGAGCGGTCATTTGGGAGGGAGGGGGACTTGGGTCCAATCCTTGTCCAGACACCTGTGTAGGCGTGGCCCAGGAAGACGTGACACATTTCACTGAAAGAAGCATGATCCGGGGACTGTTGGTCCGTGAAGAGTGAGGCTGAGTGTCCAGGGCTCAGGAGCTCGAAGCCGGATCATCCATCTGATGCCCTGCGTCATCAGGCCCAGGCAGAGCAGAGCCTTCTAGGTGTGAAGGGGCTGGTCTGCTCACCATCCGGTAAGACATCCCTTTCTTGGTGGCCCAGATCTTCGGTATTGAGAGGCAGCTCTCATGAGAACCATCTGCATTTGATTTCCTTTGGGTGAATTGTTTCTGAAAAGGTTTCCTGGAGCAGGATTTTGCCTTAATAAATCTATTGTTAGAGATTATTTTCACAGGCTATAAGAATGAGATATAGAGTCCTTTGAACCCAATAGCAAAGAGAGGCATCAATTTGTGCCTAAACCCTGCTTGTAAATCACACTGCCTCTTGCTGTTGTCACATAATTTTCCCTGAAGGTGACATTAGGGACATGGAACTCATCCTTTTCATTGATGTGTGTATCCCATTGTGTAGATGTGGCATGGTGTGTGTCACCAGCACCCCCACGGTGGGTATTTGGGTTGTTTCTAATAGTCTGCTCTTAAAAACCATTCCGCGGTGAATAACCTCGTGTAAAATCACATCACGTATCGCACATGGTATGTGTGTCTTTGGAATAAACGGTCTGAGGGTAAACGCTTCTGTTCTTCTGCCCAGTATTGTTGAATTCCCTTCCACAGGGGTTGCACCACTTTACCTTCCTTCTAGCATTGTACGAGAGTGCAGATTTCCCCATGGAGTGCTTGGAAAATCTTCGGGAGTTTTGCAGTCTGGGAGGTAAGACGTGGTATCTCCCAGCACTTTGAATTTTCACTTCTCTTATGAAGAGTTAGGGAAGCATCTTTTGTATGTTGCAAAGCCATTGACAAGATTTATCTGGGAACTCTCAGTTCCTACCTTTTGCCCATTTTTCCCTACTCAGCTGCCGAGAATTTTCTCCCATATAAATGTTAGGAGTTCTTTGTATAGGTGGGAAGTCAGCTTTTGTGTTTCTGGGAGTTGCAAATATCCTGTGGTTTGTCAATCTTGATTTTGGTTATGGTGGGTTTTTAAAAATGTAGTCAGAATTATCAATTATCCTTCTAATGCTTTTGGCTCTCGAGACACAGTAAGGGCCGTCATGATGAATGGACTCATTTTTCTCTGGTGCTGATGTGGGCTTGCTTCTTACGTTAAGACTGGCAGTGCCTTTGGGGTTTATGGAGAGTGACGTGTGGGTCCACTTTGACCTTTTTCCAAAAGGCTGCCCAGCTGTCCCAACATGAGTTATTACATGGCCCAGCTCCCCACCCCGAATCCTAGGCTGAGGGTCCCACGTACTTAGGCTCCATTTCCGGGCTCTTCTCTTTCTGAGTCTGTGTTTGATGCTGTCACTGGAAATTCTACCATTTCCATAAATTTCCATAAATTTGCCTAGAGGTGAATATTCATGGCCTCCATGACAGGCACTTCACTGTTTTCTTTTTAAGATTTATTTTTATTATTTATTTATTTTTGGCTGTGTCGGT